CTCTGGCAGATGGTCGATCCTGCTTCGTGTAAGGGTGCGTGTGCGCGTGTACATACAGCACGCATGCATGTGTGACGAGAACGCAGGACCACCGGCAATGCCGCCGAACGGTGTCCTTCAGGTTGATACGTCCGTTGGGGGAGCCAGGGCGGGAGTAAATCTGGCGGCTTACTCCCGCACTCAAGCCAGGGCGGGAGTAAATCTGGCGGCTTACTCCCGCACTCAAGCGGGACGCAGCGTGGGAATGAGGCCCGAGGGCGTCACGCAGGTAACCGAGACAGGGTCCAGAGGGGCCACACACGCAGAGAGATTTGCGAGGCCCAAGTGGGTGAACATTTAGTACTCGCGCTAGCATGCGATGATGATGCACGCGGGGAAGCCGGCATTTCCGCTGGGCTGTGTCCGGAAGGTCCGCAACTCTATGGGAACACATGAGGGGGAGACGAACTTCTCATGCGAACGTGCAGATGTGTTGATGTGGCGCGTGTGTGCTGGACCACCAGAATCTGCAGCTGTGCTGTGTCCTGGAGGCGACTGCCCCGCACGTGAAGTATGCGCGCAGAACTGTCAGCCTGGCCGCTGGGCTGTGTCCTCGAGGCAAGTGCCTCTTGCGTGTACGTGAACAATTTGCGCAGGACCGCCGGCATTGCCGCTGGGCTGTGTCCTCGAGGAGGAAGCCCCATTCAGGGCCAGCAAGGAAGAAGCAAGTGATAACAGACAGATGGAGAAGGAAAGGGGGGAACGGGTGCATGGATTAGGCGCGGGAGGGTGGGCAGGGCAAGGGATGAGGCATAGTTCATGAAGGTGTGCGGGTGCGCAGAACGGCCGGCATTGCCTGAGGCCGCCGGAGGAGGAGGAGGAGGAGGAGGAGGAGGAGGAGGAGGAGGAGCAGGAGGAGGAGGGCGGAGGAGGAGGAGGAGGAGGAGGAGGAGGAGGAGGAGGAGGAGGAGGAGGAGGGGGATAATAAAGGACGAGATGAAGAGGCGCGGGTGCGACGCGAGCGGTTCGAAAACCATAACCCCATTCCGCACGTGGAGAGAAGCCATATTAACCCTGCTTGGTATTTTGGTATGCGAGGAGGCCGGTGAGAGGAATATGCAAGAGGAGGAAAGGAGGAGGGCAGGTATGAGGAGACGCGGGTGCGAAGCGACTTCGGGCCTCGGCGCCGTCAACAAAAACAACGGCTCGGGACGACAGACCATGCCCTCGGGCAAGAGATCGAGCAGTCCAGCGGCCCGCGCATCGAGATAAGTCGAAGCGACGGGTGTCCCCTGCGCGCCCTGATGGCCAGAAGCCTCTCGGATGCACACCGTCCTGGGGCACAGGATGGCCCTGGCCCGGCACGGTGGTGGTGTGCGGGGGCCACTCTGCGGAGGGAAGGGCGACGTGGGAGGAGGAGGAAGAGGAGGAGGAGGAGGAGGGCGGAGGAAGAGGAGGTGGAGGAGGAGGAGGAGGAGGAGGGGGAGGAGGAGGAGGAGGAGGAGGATTGGATTGGACACGTCGGGAGCAAGGCTGGGCCATCCAGCAACGAAGGATGGAGAGCCGACCCTGCACCGCTAAGCGGCACAGGGCGGCCCTCCAAACAACATGCCAGAGGACCCGACCTAGAGAGAACAGCGGCGAAGAGTCCCACGCAGTGCAAAGCAGGGGCAAGCAAGCGGTAGGCTACAAACCAGTTCCATTGGTTGCCACCGCTGGCGACGAGTAATAATCAATGAACTGCGCACGATATAGCACAGTCGTTCCTCCTCCGCCTCCTCTCATTCTCCTCCAAGCCTCCACCACCCCATAATCGAGCAGACAACTCCGAGGGAAGAGGCAAGGGGAGGGAGGGATACATAATGAGGCAGGAAGGGAGAGGAAGGCTACACGGGAGCAAAACGCTTGGCCCTCACATCCTTCTCATTGTCCATGCTCTTGGCAGGAGCTGCTCCCGTACTGAATCGAGCAAGACGTTCTTCACGAGACACATAGCGAGCAGCAGGGGCTCGCACCTGGGCCCACGAGTCATGGCCATCTGCACAAGCGTCCCGACTGGCAGAGGGGGGCGGCAGCATCGTCAGGAAGAGCTCCAGGAAGCGGCGCATGTCCCGCCTGGCCGGCAGCGCCTGCAAAGGGAGCATTTCCAATGCCGTGAACAGCTCCAGAAGCACGAGGAGTGGGTGCAGCATCAGCAGCAAGAGGAGAAGCAGCAGGGTTGTCGGGGGGCGCACCAAAGGCCTCATTGGCCTTGCCCTTGCCGTTCCCGATGACCTTGCCCTTGTCCTTACCGACCTCGGAGTAGGGCCCATCACTTGGGCCTCGGCTTTCGCGAGCTGCACGAGAGAAGCCAGGAACGCCAGAAACAACATTGGGCTCAGGATCTTCACCGACTCTGTGAACAGCTGCCGAGAAGTTCAAGTGCCCAGCTGACGCGAGCAGCATGCCGAGCTCTACAATCTCCTGTTTCATCACGCTGAGCTGGGGCCGCAACTCGGAGACCTCCGAGGCCCCAACAATACCTGGAGCGGAGGTGTGATGCGCGGCACAGGCCTGGCGCAGCGACAGCAGCCATTGCACGTTGCGGGCGGTGGAGCGCTGTTTGTGCTCGCGACGGCGGCGAGCAACACCAGACGAGGCAGCGCCGACAGCCGCGCCAGACATGGCCGCGGCGGCGCGCGCGGGGCAGTCAACCTGGGGAGGTCGCCTGCCAAGCGGCCGCGGGGGTCGACCCGGGAGGTTGACCCAAAGCGGCAGCTTGAGGAGGAGGAGGAGGAGGAGGAGGAGGAGGAGGAGGAGGAGGAGGAGGAGGAGGAGGAGGGAGGAGGAGGAGGAGGAGGAGGAGGAGGAGGAGGAGGAGGAGGAGGGAGGAGGACGAGGACGACGAGGAGAGAGGAGGAGGAGGAGGAGGAGGACGAGGACGAGGAGGAGGAGGGCGCCGTTCTCTCTCACGGCCCCGAGTTGGACGGGGCCAGGGGCGGGCGCCGCGCCCGGGGCCCGTCTGCGGCCCGAGCAGCGCCCGGCGGTTCACTGCGGGCGCCGTGCTGCGCAGCGCACGGTGGCGTCAAGTCGGGCATGTCCCTCCACAGGGGGAATATTCAAAATCAGTCAGAAAATCGTATTGGGTCGTGCGTTTCGGCCCTGCGTCTCCTGACCCCACGGACTGCCTGTGACATGTGGTGCGTCGACTATGTGGCAACCAACAACGGACTGCCTGTGAGATGTGGCGTGTCGGCCATGTGGTAGCCAGCAACGGTCTGCCTGTGAGATGTGGTGTGTCGCCTATGTGGTAACCAGCAAGTCCAGAGGCCAAAACGCCCATCCCCATGACGAGAGTTTCTTCCTCTTGGGCCGGGAACGACGGCCTGAAGTCTTGAGCAGACGCGTATGAGACAACCGCCGTCGGATCCCATGAAGTTCGCGCGCGGATCCCAGTGTGGCTTTGGTGTTTGCTTCGGTGGATCCGATTTCCGTCCGCGCGGATCTGATTTCGGATTTGTTGGATCCGTAGTCGGTTTTTTTTTGTTACGGCGGATCTGATCTTGCCCCGTTTTGAATTTGTAGTATTAGATTGAAGCGGGAAGCCGGAGGAAATTGGATCTGCGGACCGCAGGACTCGCCCGTGCTAAGATTCTACGGGGGAAGGGGTTTCAGTCATTAACTTCCAACTCATCATCGCCACTTGCACCTCAAGAGTAAAATTCTTCGTCCTGCGTAACTGCGTTTCGGCCCTGCGTCCCCTGACCCCGCGTACTGCCTGTGAGATGTGGTGTGTTGGCTATGTGGCAACCAACAACGGACTGCCTGTGAGATGTGGCGTGTCGGCTATGTGGTAGCCAGCAACGGACTGCCTGTGAGATGAGGTGCGTCGCCTATGTGGTAACCAACAAGTCCGAATACCAAAACGCCCAGTGCGTTTCGGCCCTGCGTCGCCTGACCCCACGGACTGCCTGTGAGATGTGGTGTGTCGACTTTGTGGCAACCAACAACGGACTGCCTGTGAGATGTGGGGTGTCGGCCATGTGGTAGCCAGCAACGGTCTGCCTGTGAGATGTGGTGTGTCGCCTATGTGGTAACCAGCAAGTCCAGAGGCCAAAACGCCCATCCCTAGGACGAGAGTTTCTGCCATTTGGCCCGGGAACGACGGCTTGAAGTCTTGAGCAGACGCGTATGAGATAACCGCCGCTGGATCCCATGAAGTTCGCGCGCGGATCCAAGTGTGGCTTTGATGTTTGTTTCGGTGGATCCGATTTCCGTCCGCGCGGATCCGATTTCGGATATGCTGGATCCGTGTTCGATCTTTTTTTTTCACGGCGGATCCGATTTTACCTTGTTTTGAATTTGTATTATTAGATTAAGACGGGGAGCCGGAGGAAATTGGATCCGCGGACCCCAGAACCCGCCCGTGCTAAGATGCTACGGGGGAAGGGGGTTTCGGTCATTAACTTCCAACTCATCACCACCACTTGCACTTCAAGAGGAAAATTGTTCGTCCAGCGTAAGTATGTTTGAACATTCTTTTTATATGTTTGAACTTTTCGTCCATAATCCGCCGGTAGGAGGACATGCCCGACCTACACTGAGTGGCGCAGTCTCACGTCATTTTTGGTGTCGTATTCGGTGAAATCGCACATTAGCTCCTGAGGGCCCCGCGTGGAGTCCTGCCCCTTGCGGGCCATCTTGACCGGATTCTCGTTCCTTCCATTCAATGCCACTGCTTCGCGGCCTCTTTCCTGCCTCCCCTGGCTTCGGATGCGCCGGACCTGGTTTATTTTCCGATCTGCAATTGTGTCAGCAATGCACCCCAGACGATGCGAAGCAGTAGTGTTGAAACTTCCGCCTCAGAGAGGTCGGGCAGACATGTCTCCGCAAAGTTACCAGGGCGGAGAAAAGCGACGGCAACGCAGGCGAAGATAGGCGTCAAAGGAGCTTCAGACGTGGGGCCGAGACTTCCGCCCTGGTTGCCGCATCTCCCAGCGTACGGCGGATCCGATGTCGGGGCCCTGCTGTCCGGCGCCGAGGCAGCTCTGACCCGTTCGCCTCCATGCCCAGGGGCTTGAGCGGCGGCGACCCCTTCGCCTCCAGCGCCTCCAGCGCGCTCCAGACGCAGGGCAGGTCGTGGTCGTCCTTCTCTTTCTCCTTCTCCTTGTCTTTCTCCTCCTCCTCCCTTCTCCTTTCCTTCTCCTCCTCCTCCTCCTCCCTTCTCCTTTCCTCCTCCTCCTCTTTCCCTCGCCCCTACTCCTCCTCGTCACTCCTTCTCCCTCATCATCATCATCCTCCTCTTCCTCCCTCCTCCTGGTCCACCCTCGTCCTTCTCCTGCTCGTTTTCCCTCCCTCTTCTTCTTCCCGACGGCACCGAAGCACGAAAGCCGCAGCGAGGCACTGCAGTAACAGATGATGATGATGATGAGGAGGAGGAGGAGGAGGAGGAGGAGGGGGAGGAGGAGGAGGAGGAGGAGGGGGAGGCGGAGGAGGAGGAGGAGGAGGAGGAGGAGGAGGAGGAGGGGGACTCAGGATGAGTATTGCGAGAGTTGGCTGGGTGCCGCGCGCACCCGGCGTCCTTCCCCTTGCTGTGATAGTGGGCTAGGTGCCGCGCGCACATGGGTGCTAGGTACCGCTCTCCTCGCGTCCTGTTCCTCACGATTTTTTCCTGTGCCGCTCGCTTTCATGGTGCTACAATGGGGGTGGATCGGATGTTGTGAACGCCGCGCCTTTTTTTATACCCATAGCACAAGTATCAAGTAGAAGATGCAGCATCGGCTGGCACCGCAGTGAAAGGCGGCACATCCACGGCAATCGAAATGCTTGCCGCGGGTCGTTCCAGGTTCCCGCGTTTGTCCCCCTTTTGTTCCCTGCGTACTCCACATTCCTTTTCGAAACCCGTAGACAGGCGCGACGCCGCAGTTGGACGCGCAACTTTGCCACGAGGGGGGGGACGAGGGAGGGAACTAGCCAAGAGTTGAGGGGAAAAGAAGGTGGGGTCCTTCCTGAGAGCAGCGCCGATGCCTAAAGGAGGCGCCCCGTCCGCGTCCTGCAGCCGAGCTCGGGCAGCTTGGAACAGATGCGCTGTCAAGAGCGCGCACAGCTCCGAACTATACTGCTCGGAGTTCGCTGTTGCGGGATTCTCGGCAACGCTGCCGCTCACGGGCTTGTGCGGGCTTCTGTCTTCGCTAACTGAGCAGTGCCCCCTGCGCAGGAGGCTAGAGAGAGCTTGACGAAGCGTGGGTTGGCCAACCACTAACAACTGAGTTCGCAGAAGAAACGGCACGTTGGCGCTCCGCGCGGATTTCTTGTATCCGCGCTGGAACCCCCTGGCGGCGCCTCCAGCGCCGCCCCTGGCGCGTTCCGCGCGCCAGGGAGGGGGTCCATCGCGGATCCAAGAAATCCGCGCTTAGCGCGAACAGTTTGTGTTTGTATCGTTTTTTCTTCTTCGAGAAACGTGGGCTGGCCAGCCACTTATAACTGAGTGGGCTCGACCGCGGTCGCCGCGAACTCGCACTGGCCAACACAGGCCGCGCCCAAGTTGCCGCTGGTGCCTTGCCTACCTAAAGGGTGCGCAGATGGACAGTCTCTGGCAAGAGCCAGCTGGATGGGGGCCAGGGGGTCACAACGGGGCGCGGTGTAGGCAGCGGTGCCCGTCTCTTCCACCATGTAACATGTATATATGAAGGCGAGCCTCGATCTGTACAGCGCCTTGACCAGCTCAAGCTGTTTCCAGTCAGACCCTCCGAGAGGAAGCACTGTCGCGCCCAGGAGCGCACCAACCGCACGCGCATCCCTGATGGGGCCCAAGAACAAAACACACCGCATGGGAATTGGACGTACGCTCTTGGACCTCCTCGTTGGTCAGTGGCAGGCTGAGCATGACCAGAGAAGGGCTTGGGGCCGAGCCGGGCCTTCAAAGTGGGATTGGACATCCCCCGAGCGGCGTGGGCCTCCTCATCTTCGTCATCCCTCCTCCTCCTCCTCCCCCTCCGTGTCCTCCTCATCCTCGTCCGTCTCTCTCCTCCCCCTCTCTCCTCTTCTCTCCTCCTCGTCCCCGTCCTCCTTCTGGCTCAACTCCTCTTCCCTCGTCCACTTCCTCCTCCTCCTCTTCCTCCTCCCTGCTTCCCCCCCTCCTCCCCCTCCTCCTCTTCCTTTCTCCTCCTCCTCTTCCTCCTCCTCCTCCTCCTCCTCCTCCTCCTCCTCCTCCTCCGCCCTCCTCCTCCTCCTCCTCCTCCTCCTCCTCCTCCTCCTCCTCCTCCTCCTCCTCCTCCTCCTCCTCCTCCTCCCCCTCGAGCAAGCCACTTGAGACGTCGCGGGGGCCTTGGCCAGCGCTTTGCTTTTCTCCCCAGCGGGCGTCAGCCTCGACTCGTAGTGGAGCCTTTGGGCTCCCTCCCCCCCCCCGTCGTCCGAGACCCGCCCTTCAGGAGCCAGTGTGGCTCCAGGCGGCTCCTCCCCGGTGCTCCGCTTGGGAGGGGCGAAGGACGAGAGGGGGGGGGCTCCGCTCCACCATGAGGGCGGGGGGGGGGGCTCCTCACCCTTCTCTCCTCCTCTGCAGCTTCTCTTGTCCTCGGGCCTCAGGCACCTCTTGGCTGCAGATTCCCGGGTCCCAGAACTTTCCCGCTCCACATCTCCCCCCTCGTTAATGTGTGTTTGCGCGGGTAACTCGATATCTCTTGCTACGTGGCAGAGGAGAACACATCTGATGAGGAGGATGAAGATGAGGAAGAAAAACAAGCGGATGATGGTAAGTTTATGAATGAAGAGGAGGGGGATGACGAGGTGAAGGAGGCATACGTACCGACATACTTCATCTCGGCACGCATGGCTCAAACAATTGGAAGTTTAGCGACATGTCTGGCGAGCGCGTGGCTATAATCTGGAAGGACAATTGGGTATCGAGCATTCTGATGATGATGAGGATGGTGATGGTGCTGTTGATGATGGCGATGACGCTGATGATGACGACGACGGTGCTGCTGATGATGATGATGATGATGATGATGATGATGATGATGATGGCGACAACGATGATGATGGTGATGATGATTATGATCATGATGCTGCTGATGATGATGGACATGATGTACGTGGTGATGATGATGAGGATGTTGATGCTAGTGTAGATGATGCTGGTGCTGACGATGCTGCTGATGACGACACTGATGACAAAGATGGCGATGCTGACCATCATTGTGACCATTGCGACGATGATTATGATTCTGACGATTCTGATGATGCCGATGACGATGATCATGTATGATAGTGCTGATGGTGGCGATGATCATGCTGCTGATAAAGATGATGTTGTTGCCGGTGCCGATTATGATGATGATGATGCAGATGATGTTGATGTTGATGATGATGGCGATGCTGTTGATGCTATTGATGACGGCGCTGATTACGATTCTGTCGTTGATGGTGATGATGATGACGACGGCAACGATGATGATGATGATGCTGATGATGGTGATGTTGATGATGATGACGGTGGTGATGACGACGATGATGATGACATTGCTGATGCTGACGATGATGAATCTGATACGTTCTGATCATGCTGATGAGTGCGATGACGACGACGATGCTGATGATGATGATGATGATGATGATGTTGATGTCGATGATGATAATGATGATGATGATGATGATCATGATGATGATGATGATGATGAATGATGATGATGATGCTGATGATGGTGCTGATGATGAGTCTGATGATGCTGATGCTGATGCTGCTGGTGGTGATGCTGCTGATCATGATGCTTTACATGATTATGCTGATGCTGCTGCTGTCGATGATGATGCTCCTGATGATGACGATCATGATGTTGATGATGACGCTGCTGATGATGATGCTGATGATGAGGAGGATGCTGACGATGCTGATGGTTATGCTGATCATGCTGATGATGATGCTGTTGATGAGGAGGGTGATGATGATACTGGTGACTATGCTGATGATGATGCTGCTGATGATGAGGATGAGGATGCTGATGTGGATGCTGATGTGGATGCTGATGCTGATGCTACAGCTGCTGCTAATGATTATGATAATACTGAGGACGATGACGGTCATCATGATGACGAGGAGGAGAAGGAGAAGGAGGAGCAGGAGGAGGAGGAGGTTGTGGAGGAGGAGGGGGAGGAGGAGGACTGGATGGAAGAGGTGGACGAGGCGGACAAGGTGGAGGAGGCAGGGGAAGGGGGAGGAGGAGAAAGAGGAGGAGGAGGAGGAGGAGCAGGAACTGGAAGAGGGACATGGGGAGGACGAAGGGGGGAGGGGACGAAGGAGAGAAAGAGGAAGAGGAGGAGGAGGAGGAGGAGGAGGAGGAGGAGGAGGAGGAGGAGAAGGAAGAGGTGGCTGAGGATGAGGCTGAGGAGGAGGAGGAGGAGGAGGAGGAGGAGGAGGAGGTGGAGAGGCATGGGCGAGGAGATGCAGGGCGGGGCGGGCAACGCCACCCCCCAGGTCGAGGCAGCAGAACTTTGTCTCCTTTTCGAGCACCTACGAAGACGTAGGCGAGCGGGGCGGCTTCAAACTGAAAGGATCAAACTATTCACGTCGGTCGTTACAAGTAGCTGTGTGTATATATATATATGATGCCCACTTCACAAGCTACCTTTAGCGCCTTCCTGCTTTAAGGATCGAGTGATTTGCCTTCTTCCCTCCGCTTCAGGGGGCGGGCGGAGATCCGACCTGCTTCCAACGCCTTCCTGCTTCATGTTTCTACCTACTTGCCCACGTCCAACGCCTTCCTGCTTCCAACGCCTTCATACTTCCTACTTCCAACGCCTTCCTGCTTCATGTTTTTACCTACTTCCAACGCCGTCCTACTTCCAACGCGTTCCTACTTCCTACTTCCTACTTCTGACGACGGTATACAGATACCGCGACCCTTGCCTCGTCTTCGCCTTTGTGGGCCTCTTGGGAGGCCCCCGTTGCCACGGCTGGATTCGCCTCGAGATGCTGGTCACCGGCTCGTCAGAACGCATCCGGGGAGACGAGCGGTCCGCGCGGAAGGGTCCGAAGCTGATGTTTCCCCCGAGTCTGGGGGAAGGAATAATGGCCTAAACCTGAACTGTCGGAGGTCCGCGCGGATTTCCCCCCCTGGCGGCGCCTCCAGCGCCGCCCCTGGCGCGCTCCGCTCGCCAGGGAGGGGGGTCCAGCGCCGACACCCGAAAGTATACGTCTTGGATTCCTATATCTCTATATATATATACACACATATATACATACATACATACATACATATTACCTGGAATCCCCCTCCCCCTCCTCTAAACTGGTTCCTCCCCCAGGGACGCCCTGGACGCCCTTTCCAACGTCTCGGCGGCCCCTGGGAGTCCCTTGGAAAAACGGTCCGCTGGCCCTTCCGGGTCTCCCAGGGCGCCTTGCCGGGCCTTGCGAGCAGACTCGATGCGATCAGAGGGGTCATCGGAGAGGCGCAAGAGAGACCCAAGACAGCACAAGAGCGCTCCAAGAGGAACCTCGATGGTCCGAAGACGGCCCACGAGGCCCCCAAGACGCCCCAGGAGGCTGTTAAGAGAGCCCCGAAGAAGCAAACATCGTCCCATTCCCTGGGCCGAAATGGACATTTTTAGCATAATCGCTTTTTGGGTCTTCGCAGCGTCCAAGACGGCCCGATGGGCCCCCGATATCGCCCCAAGACGGCCCAAGAGGCCTCCCAGAGGGTTTGAAGACGGTCCAAGAGGGCCCCAAGGTTGCCCCAGAGAGCTCCGAGATTGCCCACAAGAGCCCAAAATGCTGTCAGAAGGCTCCCAAGAAAGACCAGCGAAGGCCATGGGAGACCTCCAAGAAGGCCACTGGAGGCCCCCAAGAGGTTTCTAGATGGCTTCAGAAGACCTCTGGAGGGCCCCAGCTCCCCAAGACTGCCCAAGAAGGCCCCAGGACGGCCCAAGAGGGCCCCAGGACGGCCCCAACAAGCACCAAAAACGTCCAGACGGCGTTCTCCGTGCGCTCGCTGCGCTCACGCCAGCCCGCCTGTCTTTCCTGTACCTCTATCGCCCTCTCTCTACTTGTTCGTCGACCTCCGCGTCGTGGCATCCGATGGCCATCCTCATTCGCCCGCTACTTCCTCTGGACCTTCTCCCCGTTTCTCCCCCCTCCGCCCCCCTTTCCGACTCTTCAGCCCCCTCCTCATCCCTGCTCCCTTCCCGTTCCACATTCATGGACAGGTGCCATCACAACAGTTTGATACTTAGTCGTTTGCCACCATCTCGCGCGCGAAAAAATCTGCATTCCCTCCCGGCTCCTGCGCACAAGCGTGCAAGCGCGTCCGGCGAACGCGGTGTCAGCAGGCACCAGGAACATCAGAAAAATGAGCCGATCGCCCGTCCAGGCCTCGAGGTCCCCCCTGATGAAGCAAACGATGCTTTATTGTTTTGCCGGGGAAGCGTCCAGAACAAGGCGCATGGCGCGAAGCGCCAATGCAGTTTTTACATTTACGTATACATATACATATACATATGCATATACATATACATACACATATACGTATACACATACATATTCATAAACCGTTACAATTACGTACATGTATACATATACATGAATATATATATGTATATATTTATATAACTACATACATATATATATATATATATGTATAGTCATGCATGTATGTATATATATGAATAGAATTACGCACGTATATGTACAGTCAACGCGCATAGTAAGGACAAACGATTTTTCAAGGTTGCCCTTGGGTCCGTGCCTGCCTCAGCCTCTGCGGCCCGTCCCTAGCAATTTTCGCAGGCCAGAATACTTCAACTTCGGCCTCCAAGGGTCTTGCGTCCTTACCACGCGTCCTTACTATACGTTTCCACCGTGCATTTGCAAATCCATATGCAAAGTTATCTAGTATTGCCAGTTGTTGTGCGCCTCGAGTGTCCAGCGCCCGGGGAATTGGGCTTCGGCCGGCGGTGGATGTGGGGATGTTTGGGCCACGCCGGCATCGGTCCACGTCCGCCGCCCCCGGGGGCCCCCGGGACATCTTCGGCGCCCCGTTCCCCGTGCAGTGGCGACGGACACGCGGGCAGCCCCCCGCCGCGCGGAGGGAGGCCGTGCGCGGCCACGGGTTTCAGTCGGGTTTGTCCTTCCACAGGAGGAAGATACAAATATGATCAACAAAAGACAACCGGGGGACGATTTGCTGCCGATGTTTTAGCAAGGGTGCCCTCGAGGGCGCGAAGTTATTCGCGCTTCGCGGTTCGGCTCCGATTCCTCTCCATCCTGCTCTTCTCCCCTGGGAGGCGGCGCGAGAGCGCGAAATTATTCGCACTTCACGCTTCGCGCTGCGCGAAGCGCGAAGTTGGGAACCCTTGTTTAATAACAAACAACAGCATGTTTGGGATCTTGTTTGTTTCTCTTTTGTCGTTCAACGCCCGCCTGTAGGAGGACATGCCCGACCGAACCATACAGCGGGAGCCCCTGTCAAAAGACACCCTGCTTGCCTCCAGGGGGCCCTGGGTTTTTTGGGTTTAGATGGTTCTGCTATGGAATGCGTGACGTTCCCACACCAAAAATCAATGGACGTCCTGGGGTCTCAGGGTTGGTTTCTTGTGGGAGGTTCCCTGTGGACTAGCCTCCACTGTGGGTGGCCCTGGCTCAGGGTGGCCCCTGGCTATTCCGGGGAGGCCCAGATGGGGAGGCCCAGATGGCCTCCACGGCGGCCCTCAGAGGAGGCCCGGGGAGGGCTTCCAGGGGCGCCAGGGCATTGCGAGCACCTCGGGCCGCCCTGTGCCAAGATTGCTTTTTGGCATTCGGTTGGGCATGTCCTCCTACAGGCGGATGTTGGACGACAAAACATCGCCAACAATGCCCAAACATGGCCCAACAAAAATTAGGTGCATCAATTTGCATGGACGGGCTTGAGTTGTGACGGTCTGGTCATGGATCTAATTGCGAATGAATTGGAATATGAATTCGTCTCAGTAGTACGAGCGCGTCTCTACGCATGAGCCCGGGGCCTCCTGGGACCTCCTGAAACCTCCTGTGGCTTCCCGGGGCCTGCAGGAACCTTTTGGGGCCTCCTGGGGCCTCTTGGGGCTTCCAGTGGCCTCCTGAGGCCTCCTGGAGCCTCGAGTGGCCTCCTGGGGCCTCCTGGAGCCTCCTGGGACCTCCCAGGAAGGATTCGTGCCCCAGGAGAGGCCCGCTGTATAGGAACAAACGTGCATAAAACATTGCGGGTTGGAGCCGCAGGAGAAGGACAATCTACAGGAACACGCGTAAAGCGCCAAGGACTCGTGCCCAGGGGAGGCCCAATCGATAGGAACGTACGTAAAACATTTATCATTGTATACACAGGAGAAGGACACTCCATAGAAACATACGTATGATATCAAGGATTTGTGCTCCAGGTGAGGCCCAATCTATAGGAGCACACGTAAAACACATGGGATTGGAGCCACTCCTGTTGCCTTCTGAGGCCTCCTGCTCCTGGGGCCTCTCGGGGCCTCTTGTTGCCTTCAAGGGCCTCCTGGCGCTTCCTGTGGCCTCCTGGGGCCTCGTGTGGCCTCCCTGGGCCTCCTGGAGTTTCCTGGGGCCTCCTGGGGCCTTTGGGACATCCTGTGGCCTCTTGAATATTCCTGTGGCCTCCTGATGCCTCCTGGGACCTCATGTGGCCTCCCGGGGCCTCCTGGAGCCTGCTGGAGCCTTCTGTGGCATCCTGGTGAGAATCTGTGCCCGCGAGTCTGGCCACCAAAACAGGCAAACCGATCGAGACATCCTCAAAACCTGGCACCCCTGGGGTGCGCAAATGAGCGCCCCGCTCGAGACATCCTCCAAATCTGCTCCGACCGCGGAGGATGTTGGGCATGCAAACAGGCAAACCGCTCGAGACATTCCCGCTATTTTGGCGCGAACGGAGGCCGTGCAATACCCCTGGCGGCCCCCCCTAAATGACCGTCTCGCTCGAGACATCCTCCAAATCTGCTCCGAAAGCGGAGGATGTTGGGCATGCAAACAGGCAAACCGCTCAAGATATCCCCACCATTTTGGCTCGAACGGAGGCCGTGCAATACCCCTGGCGCCCCCCCCCTGGAAGTGCGAAAACCAGCGCCTCGCCTGAGAGATCCTCAGAATCTGCTCATCGTCATCATCATCATCGTCGTCATCATACTCATCCATCAGTCACCATCACCATCAGACTCACAGCATGCTCTCACCGTACCATGGTCATCATCATGATAATCATCATCACTGTCCAGTACAGAGGGGGAGGAGGTCAGGCGAGGTCCTTGGCGCGGTCGGGGAATTATTCACTGCGTGGAGCTCCCCATATGTGCGCCTATTTGCATGGACTGGGTGTGGGTGAGTCTGAGTATGAGTATGATGAGTACGAGCCTGAGCACAAGTGAGTCTGGGACATCCTCGCAATCTGCCCCCCCCCCCCCCCCCCTTCCCCTGGGGTGCGAACGCAAGTGAGTCTGAGTATGAGTATAGTGAGTACGAGTCTAAGTCTGAATGGGTAGGAGTACGAGTGAGTTTGACTACGAGT